ATTTTTTCACCTTTCAGTGAATAGTTCTTCAAAGAACCAATTTTTTGAACCTACATTTTTAAAGTCTGAAGAAACTTTTTTCAACTTTTTTACATTACAATGTTTTCTAATTCAATTTCATCATTACTTTCCAGTGCTACTCTACAAAATGTCTGGAGACTCCAGGACCTCCAGGTCCACCGGGACTCAGGGGACAGAAAGTGAGTATCTTAAAAAAAAAATTGGGTTTAAAAAGACAGCACTGACAGAAATGTTAACTATCAAGTAATTTCACTCTCTTTTTCTTTCTGCTTAACACTTGATCTAACGTCTTGATTATTACAGGGAGCTAAAGGCGATAATGGTGACCCCGGTCTTAAAGGTCAAAGAGGACGTCCTGTGAGTACAAACCAGTTCTATTGAATGCATTTGGTAAAACACTGCATTTCAACCAAAGACTGTACTAAATCTAATGCGTATTCTGTGAGGCTCTCACACCAGTACTATTTGTATTAACTCATGTCAAAACCTACAGGGAGATCCAGGTATTGAGGGACCCATTGGACATCCTGGACCTAAAGTAAGTTCTTCACATTCCTCAGGTGTGATTAAATGCCTAATCATAAACCAATATGTATTGATCAGACCAATTATTCTGCATATGTTTGGCTATTTTTAGATTATCTGCTTTAACTGATAAGTGTTTTTGCTTGGCTGATTACTAGAAGGGTCTTTTTTGTGATTTTTAAGTAAATATTGTGTTAAATGCTCCGTTCACTTCAAGCATTTCATTTCAGTTTCTGTGTACATCTAATTAGCTGTCATTAAACTTATTGCACTTGATTTGTCCAGATTACTGTTTGTAACCACTCTCCTGTTTATTCTCATTAAGGGAGAGACTGGTCTCAGAGGTGAAAAGGTATGATTTTATCAATGTTATCTGTAAGATCTAATAAATATGGTTGACTTATTGGTAATGCACCAAAAATGTTACATGCAAATTATCTGTTTTTAGGGAGAAATTGGAGCACAAGGGAGGAAGGTAAGACTGTTTGCTTATCATTTTATATGTTCTCTGTTTACAGAATCTTTCATGCTGCATCTATTTTTAAATATTTATATATATATAAAAAAAAGTATTTGTCTAACAGGGTGTTGCAGGAATACTGGGCCGAAATGGAACAGATGGGCAGAAGGTAAGTAATAGTAAATGTGGGCTAGTGAAGTGTGGATAGCAAGAAATTCAAATAAATAATAAAAATATTAAAATTTAATAAAACTGACTATTTTTTAACAGGGAAAAATTGGCAGGATCGGCGCTCCTGGCTGCAAAGGTGACCCCGGCGACAAGGTGTGAGTCTTTTTCATTTGGGGAACAGATACTGGTATTATGCAATACCATTAACAGATGAATGTGCCTTTTACAGGGTCCTGATGGCTATCCTGGAGATGTTGGAGAACCTGGTCTTGCAGGGGCTCTGGGAGAAAAGGTACCTGAGAAATTGCAGAGAAAAGAAAAATTGGCATTTACGTAAAAGCCATTAGGCATTGTGGTTTGAGGTGTCATGGTTGCTCACTTTATTCTCAGGGCGATCCAGGTCGTCCAGGAAGACCAGGTCCACTTGGGCCAGCTGGAGATCCTGGACCCAAAGTAAGATTTCATAACTACAGAGATTACACTAACATTAGTTATCAATAATATTGTAATATGCTCTCTGACACCCCCTACAGGGAGAGAGAGGAAGTTCCGGAACACCTGGAATTCCTGGCCAGAAAGGATCTGCTGTATGTATTTGTTTTAATTATGGTCATTATTGTTATTTTAACATTGTAAATTAGAGATGATGTTAAAGAGGACTTTGTTTTGTTTTATAGGGTACAGCTGGAGGACCTGGACCTAAAGGCGACCCTGTGAGGAATTCTTTTCCTGTTATATTCCCCTTGTAACACTACAGTAGGTTAACTTTTGGTGATATTTACCATTGTATTTTTAGGGAAGACGAGGAGACTTTGGGCCTAAAGGCAGCACCGGAAATAATGGGCCAAAAGGAGAAAAGGTCAGTGTTGGGTTCACCGAAAATGATAACTTTACAAAGAATTGGTTCTCAGTTATCAATTTAAAAAGGTGCTTAGTAAGTGGCTCTTATTTTATTGTAAACTCAGATTGCATGAGGGGAGACTATGTTATTTAACAATTATTTTAACAATGTCCTGATTGATTAAAATATTTATAATGTTTGACAGGGTGAACCAGGTTCTGAGGGACCCAGGGGTCTTTCGGGCGAAGCTGGCAACAAAGGATCCAAGGTAAGAGTCACTGATTTGGCTGCTTAAACACAGGTCATTGTTGAAAATGGATTTTTATTGGTTTTATGATAAATATAAATGAAAACATAAATATTTTTCTGGCTTTTGTTACTAACTTTCAGGGTGATAACGGACTTCCAGGACCAAGAGGCCCACCAGGAGGTCCTGGAGAACCAGGCAGAAATGTAAAAATGACAAAATCTTGCTAAATGTCATATTTGTCAGCCATTTCACAGTACAAACTGGCTGAAAATGTCCAAAACCAAAAACAGCTGCCTTTTTGTCTCACTGCTTACGTCAGATGCTGAACTTATTTAGCTGGATGAACAGCCAGCAAAGAACATGTTATATCTATTGTAGGGTTCCCAAGGTGACGCAGGTGATTCTGGCCCTAGAGGTGATCCTGGCTCTCTAGGACCAAAGGTACTTCACACACAAAAAATCTGATGGTTTTAAAATCAATGCTTGCATGTCTGTTGTAAATACAATATACTGATTATTTTGCCGAAGGGTGATTCTGGCAGACCTGGATTCAGCTATCCTGGATCAAGGGGAGCTACGGTACCGTAATGAGTTAAATTTGTACTTGTACTGAGAGAAATTTCAATTCAGAGCTTTAGATCACATTATATTTTATATTTTACAAATAAATATAATAAATATGTGTTTAACAGGGTGACAGGGGTGATAAAGGTGCACCTGGTCCCAGGGGAAGTAGAGGAGACTGTGGACCAAAGGGCGACCCAGGTCCAAAGGGAACTCCTGGAGAGTCGGTTAGCAAATTGACTCATTTTTGTTGCATGTTTACTGTTCAGAAGTTTTTTATAAAATCAAAATGAAATGCCATTTGCAACCAGTTTTACTTTCATAATGTGATCATATTTTTTCATTGTGTTTCAGGGAGAGCCCGGGCCTTCAGGAGAACCTGGACGAAGGGGGCCTAAAGGAGACCCAGGAAGAGATGCAAGTTTAATTTTTAGTGCATATTAATGTTAAAATGGTGTTTGGGTAGGGCTGGGTGATAAAATATATCATATCAAGATCGCAATAAAATTGATGTCTAATGATGATAAGCTCTTGATATGGATTAATCTAACAGTCTATCACACAGCAGAAATAAGAGCAACAATAGTCAGTCAGTGCATGTTGCTAATAAGCCGGCTTGTTCTTTCATCTAGTATATACATTTTCAGTCTTCAGTCTCAATATATGAAGACATGTTCACATCTCCAGAGCTGCTCCGAGAGTCGCTTCATTTCACAATTTCATTTTAGAAAAAATACTGTTGAATACATAAATGCACACACACACACACACACACACACACACACACACACA